TTAGACCATTCTTTCAAAAGACCAAATGCTCCAGATGGGATGTTGAAATTTCAGTCCTAGGAAAGATGGATGGCTACAGAATTCTTTTAATTACAGCAATTATCCATCCCTTCATCCTACAGTCTAATCTGGAAGAATATTAAAAGTTATTTGTGGGCAGAAGACAGATGATGAGTGGGGTCTTAATTATCGCTTGAACAAAATCATCCAGAACCAAATCGGAGAGAATATGCAAAGCATAATGTCAACAGTATCAGGGGCTAAGAAGGAAGGTGTGTATAAATGTGAGAGGGAACCAGAGAATGAAATCACACTGCAGAAGTTATTATTTCCAATCATTTGTCTGAAGTAGAAAAATTCAGTCATCATTTCTAAGCACATGTCACTATTCTATGTCAGAAACAAAAAACCTCAGAAATCCAGATTTTAAAAATGAAGCTATTCATGTCTCGGCCACATACATGGAAAAACAGGACTAGATTCTTCAACTTTTATCTAGATTTGGCATTGCTTATTGTGGCCAATATGTATCAGCTTTAAAATATTTTATGTAAGAGTGCTTTATTAATTTTCAGTCCTTTGTCATTTTGAAACACAGGTAACATGTCTAAGATTTTTATATCAGTTTTATTTTATTAATTTAATCAACATATAATAGATGGTATCTGTGCTTCTAGAAACGTTGTATACTATACTTTCTCCACTAGATGTCTCCAGAGAAATACAAGTAAATACTGCTAATAAAGATACCGTTAATAAGCATCCAGTTTTAAAATTGCAAAAGTACCCAGTTCGATTATGGTCAAATAGGTTACATTGACTAACGATTTAATATGAGAGTGGACCTGCACTTGATAAGCTTTTAAATGTGACAGCTTAAAGTTCTGCAGAGAAGATGGCATATTATTTGCATTTATTTCAGAAAGGCTTTTGTCTTACTTCTAAATGACTTAACATTAAAGAAACATCATCCCACGTTGCTTTGGGCTGCAGTTAATCATCTCTTTGTCTGTATACGATTTCATTATAGATATGTTAGGCCAGAATATGCTTGGAAGGTTTATGGAGTATCCAAAGGAAATCCATTGGAAGTATTACATCAAAAGATATCGTGGGAGAGCCCAGTTCTTATAGACTATATAGTGTGTCCGGCCACAAGTATCTGACCTCATATATTTCTTCTTTGGCTTCTTCAAGTTGTTCATTGATGTTCAATTTTATTTGGGCTGTATGCATATTTTAAAAAGGAAAAAAAATCATGAAATCTAATTTTTGTTTAATTTGAATTCCTACTACTGTAGGCTTAGTTCAGCCTAACCTAGTCATTTTAAGAAAACATTTTCACTAGCTCAAAAGAAACAAAGACCACTGGGTCTTTGCCAGAACTTCAATTTACAGGGCTGTTAACCTAGCTGTCAAGGAAGCCTGGGACCCTCACTAGCCAAGATAGTTGGACACTTGAGAGCTACCCTGAAGAAAGTGGACACTAACTTCAAGACCTTATTATGTTTTACAAGTAAGTTGTAAACTACATGCAGTTTACAAATAAATAAGACAGAAAAAAAGCAAAGTGATATTCAAGAAATATTTTCACGATCCGTGACCTATATGTTAAAAAGTGGGGGTTTAGAAATAAGTTGGCATAAATAGGTACTCTGGATCATGCAAAACCAAAGAAACTTTTGCTTTAAAAAAAATCTGCATTTGGCTTGAGTATCCGGGTTTGTTGAGTCCATAGTCTATGTCCTGGACAGTACAGGGCAAATTTAAGGTTAGTTGCATGCTGGTGACAGTAAGCATGATATTACAATGACTTCATAGTCTCCAGAGGCTACAAGCCTCGTTACAAAGATCCACTAGATAATTTTCAAACTCCCAATAAATTAGCATCCTGATAGCTAGAAACAAATGACCCTGTCTTTCAGTCACATTATTTTTCTTCAGTTACATAATAAACCATTTTTTTCATTAATGATTTATATTTCTGGTTCAAATTTTATAACCCTGAAAGTCAGACTTAATTATCATCATTTCAATTTTCCTCCCATCTCCTAGGAAAATTACATGACCAACCCCAGGGTCAGCGTCTTTTTCTGATGCAGAAGAATAAGGGTCCTGTGTGCAGAGAGACAGAGAGAAAGGGATGGGGGGAAAGGAGAGAGAGAAAATTTGACCCTTGATAAATGCTCTGAAAGGGAAGAATTATGTTCTTTCCAAGATTTTCAATATCTTCTCTAAAACTTAAACTACTCTTTTTTTCCATTCTTTTTCTTAAAACTGTTTCCTTCCTTCAACCTACTCGAAACTTTCTGAGACTTCCTCCCACTATTAGGCACATAATATTACACTTCCGGTCTCACCTTAGATTTTTAAGTTTCAGTGTATGATCTTTTTTTACATTTACTCTAATTTTTCCTTCTCTTGGGATATTCCCCAACCTCTAAATTTGCAGGTACTTTGTATACACACCTGGCTCACATTTTCAAGATATTTCTTGATGTCATCACTAATCCTAACGGTAAATGCTGAGGGCTGGTATTTGTTGATTTTCATGGGACTTATACAAGTTCCAGAAATGATGCTCAAAGTGGATAGACCTACAATTTCTATTACCTGCGAAAACAAAGATTTAAGGTCTCTTTTAATTGTATGAGCATATATCATGCTTTCCACCAAAAAAAGCATAAATCTGTCTCACTTGTCAGAAGGGAGCAGTAGTCTTTTGAAATATGACTGCATTTCCACCTTCACTTCTCATTTTTTGCAATTATTTATCAACTACAAGAGTCAGGATGAATGGAAACCATTAATTCTAGTGGATAAAACTAGTTGCAAGGAACCACTGGGTCAAAATTGTTTTTGAAAATAATAAAATTTTAATTCCTTCCATACAATGTTAAGAAAGCAGGCAACATGGCAGGAAATTTTGATTCTTCCTTCACCTCTTATATTCACAATCAGGTCTATCAGTTATCATTCTAGACTTTATTTAAAAATATATATTTTTACCCTTGATACTTACTACACAAGTCTATGTGCACTAAGTATATATGTACTACCTTATCCTTCACCTCCAGTCAAACCCTATTGGATTTGAGCAGAGTTCAGTTTCAATACAGAAAGGCTTGTAAGTAGTTACAGCAGTCTAAAGATGAAAAATGTGGCATTAGTAGCAGTGAGCATACCAGTAAAGAGTGAACAACATTTTAGGATGGTGACCTTGGAAATGCTGAATACTTTGAGTTTTATTCATTCCTCTGCAATTCCAAAATTCTATTGTTATGTTTGAGAAGGTAAGTAATCTATATTATAATGTCTAACTAGTCTAGAGTTGAAGACTTTTATATACCTATGTTACCATGAATGTCCTAACAGTTAATTTAATAATATTAAATAGAACTCATTTTCATAAAATAGTTTATCCATCCTAACCAATAAGCAGTTCCTGATCACTTACCATTTACACAACATAAGAGTAATAGTAAGCTACAATATAAAGCAAAAGATGACATTATAAATATGAAGTCAGAATAATTCTATTCAGAGAAATATAAATGATGGACTAATACTCTTCTTCTGACAAAGGACCAGGGACAGGATATAACTTAACTCTTATGCTAGCTCCTCTCCCGCTCTTCTTTTGAATTTCCCCTTCATTTTCTATATCTTAATCCCAAGATTTTCATACTGAAATGACCTTTCAATTATATTTCAGTATTTGTTGTTTCACCATGTGGTTTCTTAATAAACTAAGAAAGCAAATAGTAAACTAAGCAGCAAATTGTAGAATATTTTACTATTCCAAAGCAAAACCTCATAGTGAGTTTAAGCATAACTCAGGATACTGAGAATCTGCTCCTGCCCAATCCAGGTCCCTTAAAGTCCTTTCCATTAGAACAAGAGGGAGAATCCAGACCAAGTTTCCCTAACTCACCACTGGAAAAAGAACACTGATAGGACATGACAGAGGGAGCACTTTGTAACAAGATGTATTGAAATTACACTTTACGATGACGTGCAGCTTGTTATTCAAGGAAATTGATTGTGGTTACCATGCCAGCTCATTGATTACTTCTGACATTCAGATTTCCTTTATCCAAAGTGTTCTAACATTTGATATATGTGTGGAGTAGTAAGAACGCACATTTTCTTGGTTAGGGATTGCATAGTGTAGCATTGAAAGGCTTTAGTTAGTCTTGATAAAATCAGAAGAATCACTTTGGCAATGCCCCTTTCCTAATACGTATTCAATTATTCTAGTTATCTTTAGATTCATAAAAATTGCTTCCAGTAGTGGCTGCTGCTCACCAGTGGTTACCAGTAGATGTGCTGTGTAGAGGTGTTCAACATCACGTGAAGTATGCAATGAAAAACAGTAAAGCATAAATGTTTTTCCTTCCTGCTTCAAGAGTTAGAGAAATTTTTCAGAGTACGTTTTTGTTAACTCTATGTGTTCCTTGATATTTGCAAAAAGAAAGGAAATGGGCGATAGTGCTCTATTTTTGTAGGATAGCAAGGAAAATGTGGACTCTCCTACATGATTCTTCAGCAAGTTAGATTCTTATTTCATATCCTACACAAGTTTTAAATCTATCCATAGTTTGTTTTTAATCAACAGCCTTTACTCCCTTGTGATTGTAAGACTTGCATCTACCTTTGTTTTCTGGTAAAAATAACAAAAATAATCTTTCAGTTCTGATGTGAACTGCAATAAGACCTAACAATAATCTTGAGTACACAGACATACATTCTACTCTGAAAAGGATTGCAGAATCTCTTAAATCTCAACAAAAGAATTTTTCATAAAACCCTCTAAGATACAAAAGAATAAAACTGAGACATAAACATGCAATGAGTCAGATGTTCATATGATTAAAAATAAGTACCTCCTTTATAATGAAAAGGAAAAGTAGCTCGATGTGTTTCTTAAATATAACTAACTGAAACAAATCTCAGCTGGCAACTTGAAGTTGCTGATGTTTCTTGGAAAGAGTTCACATTCTCAGGTTGATGCAGTGTTCCCTCCCACAACTCTGACATGTATATAAACTCTTAGCTCTGCAAAGCCCACTGCCAGTTCTCTTCGTGGACTAACTGCAACGGAGAGGATCAAGATGATTCCCTTCTTACCCGTGTTTTCTCTTCTATTGCTGTTTGTTGTTAACCCTGCAAACACCAATGGTCATTATGACAAGATCCTGGCTCATAGTCGTATAAGGGGCCGGGATCAAGGGTAAGTCAGTGGTTTGGTTTTATAAACCATGTTTCTTGTTCCTTAGCTTGTTATATGGTCAAGTATACATAAAGTTTCTCATATATGCCTCAGTGTTTTTTTCTCTAATTATTATAAAGTAATAGGAAAGAAAGTGTGAGTATTCTGATTTATCTATGCACTTCAAGCTTTAAGATTTAATTACTGTCTAAATAACTTGAATATAATTGCTTTTTATGAAATATTTTGTAATTTTAATCTAACAAAATTTAGTTGGGCATTCTTTTATTATTTAATTTATTTGTGTTTTTATTTTCTTCCATCTGAAATTGGGTTTTCAAAATTAAAAAATCTATTGTTAGGGACTATCATATGTAAATAGCTTTGAAATATCTCACTTGATGTTAGAGAAAATTTATTTAAATTACCTATGAAGGTTAAATACTGGGTAATGTAACTAGTTCTCTGAATTCTTTGAAACATTTAAGTTACTTTTAAATTCTGAATTCTGTAAAATTTGCAAAAGCAATTTATATTTTATAGAACTAATGCAACTACAACTAAGCATTTTAAAAATTACATGTAATTTAGTAATTTATCCAACCATTTATAATTTTTTAAGTGGATCTTGGCACTTCTTCCTATGCCTCACAGGGATTTTCATGATGTTCAAAAGCTTCTCTGACTTACAGTGAAATAAGATTTCTATCCCTTTAAAAAGGGAAGAAGAACCTTAAAATTGTGACAGAGGGTGTTCTAATCTGTTGCTTCCGTTCAAAACGATAAATTCTTTTATGCAACCATATTGTTTAAAAGTTAATATTAGCACTCATTTACTTCTGTGATTACTTACCTAGAAAATTACACCGGATAGTGTCTGTGTACATAGCAAATCTTGTCTCGTTTGCTCTCTGATCTCTCATTGTTCCAGAGAGCCCTGAAGTTATGGCCATCCTCCAACTAAGCACATGTTTGGTTTAAAAAGGGTCACTAGATTATCCACTATTAAGAGCAATAAGGCACATAGAAATACAATTATGTTTGTACTGTCTGAATATTCTATTGGTTAACTTTTTGAAACATTTGTATTTTGCTCTCAGAAATGTATAATTTTTTTTTCTCTGTCTCCCCCCCAAACTCCTACAGACTTTAGCTTTTCCAATTCAGAAGGATTGGGTCAAAAATTAGATCTGTAAAAGGCTAGAATCATGTCTTTGCATATCAAGTCCTCATCTTAACATTTTCTTTTATCATCTGATCTGTAGATATGAGAAAACAGTCATTATCAGGACACTAACTTTTTTCCTTTCCCTCTATCCTCCAGCCCAAATGTCTGTGCCCTTCAACAGATTTTGGGTACCAAAAAGAAGTATTTTAGCACTTGTAGGAACTGGTATCAAGGTGCCATCTGTGGAAAGAAAGCGTAAGTCCTATTTTTTTTCATAACATGTCAGTTCCAAAAACAACTTTATGATGTATATGCCTTCCCTTGGATTTACACGCCATTCTTCTTGAAAATACTGCCCCAAATTGTGGTAGTTTTTATTTAAAGAAAATAAAGGAATACACACATGAATAAAGAAGTTCTCCCTGCATCTCCACTGTTACCAATAGAACTCAGATTTCCCCCTGAATCCATGTGATGTGGAAGCCAGAAGGAAGCAGATCACATGGCTATTGATTGGGGATAGAATTGGTGTGAGTAAATGATTATGTTGTCACTTAACCTCTGTGACTTAGTTTCCTCACTTTATAAAAAAGTGACCCAGAACAAACTGATTTAGAATATCAGGGTTTCTGAGTTAAAAACTTAATGTTTGCTTGCAATCATTTGGAAATTGTCTAAAGTACTCCATTTTACCTCAAGAGTTTTACATAAAAGTTTAAAGTTAAAAAATACTTGAGTTTTATCTCTTTGTTTTATCCAGTGATTCCCAGCTCAAGATGTTCCATCCCCAGAGGTCCACAAGGTGATAATGGAAGCTCATCATTATATATCTCAATAGCCCAAAGGATGATTATGTTTTAACACATATTTCATGGATTAGCTTAAAATTAGAAAGCATTATTTATCACTTAATAGATATGCCTTCTGGTTTGTTTCACCAATAAATATTGGGAGAAAAAAAGTAATAAACATTCTGGACATATTAAGGTCAAGAACCACTCCTGTGATTTTAAAATCTTTATTTTACTATGAGGGAATGAGTAATAAATAGGGCAAGTAATGCAATCAGAAACATTGAGATGCCATCCCCAGTCAAGAAAACAATGCAAGTGGCTCCTCCCTGCCTCCTATTAATTTGGAGTCCACCCTCAGTGAAGGATGCCTTGAGAATCAAAAGATCCAAGGAAGAACCTGATTAATACATCAGCATTAAAATTCAGTTTCCCTAAGTTTGGGTGGAAGAATTGATTGGAAACTTATTTCTAAGCCAATAATATGGGTATAAATACTAAATATGAGCCAGGAGTGGTGGCTCACACCTTTAATCCTAGCACTTTCCGAGGCTGAGGTGGGTGGATCACTTGAGGCCAGGAGTTTGAGACCAGCCTGGCCAACATGGCGAAACTTGTCTCTACTAAAAAAAAAAAATACAAAAATTAGCCAGGTATGATGGTGGGTGCCTACCTGGGAGACTGAGGTAGGAGAATCACTTGAACCTGGGGAAGAGGAAGTTGCAGTGAGCAGAGATGGCACCACTGCACTCCAGACTGAGCAACAGAATGAGGCTCCATCTCAAAAAATAATAATAATATTAAATATGGAATCCCTCTCATAGACTTACCTGTAAAACATGGATTTAATACTTGTATTATAGAGTTTCTGAGAAGATTAAATGAATTAATGAATGTGAAATTACTAAGTAAACAAAATGCATAATATCAGTTGTCCTTAAAATTAAACTATTTTAAAAAATGCATAGATGTAGATAGGAAAGGAAGTTGTAACCAGATGCCTATTTTAAATGCACAAGATTATCTTTATTTCTAAGTAAGGACCATGTATGCAAGGCATTTAACAAGGCATGTATACATGGCATTTAACCTCAGCTGGGTTGCATCTCCATATGGTAACCAAGTCTAGAGGACCTGAGGACTTCATTGACAATCCCCTGCTTATTGGCTTAATAGAGTTCAACTTGATATTATCATTTAACTTCACCATTATTCCTATTAGTGTACAGGCTTCTGCCAGACTTGTGAGTCATTCACACAATTATAATGCAATCAGTTGTTACAATGATCTCTGCTGTGCTGCAAGCTAGGCCCCCAGTATGGACTCTAAGGCTCTGAGTTTTCCTCTCTTTGTTCTTTATATTCTTGGATACTCTAAAGCACATTTGAAATGCACTCTAATTAGATAAGAAAGGACCTTCACCCTGAAATATTAGGGAGAATGTTTATTACATCCTTTCTAGAAGATTGAGAAGAATGCCATCAATTTACTTTAACCAGCTAAATACATGAGCGATGTCAAGACTTGTTCACAGGCTGTGCCAAAATTCTTTCATGTTTCCCATTTAAAAAAAAAAAAAAAAAAAACATGACTTTGAAGCCTGGCTTTTTTTTTTTTTTAGCTAGCAATACAACAGTGTCCCCTTTGTTCAATTATATTAGCTTATTTTTCCAAAGTAGCTTCATTTTCAAAAACATAGTTACATCTGAAGTAAATGTAAATGCTAATTTCAAATAATCAAAGAAATCAATAATATTGACAGGAAGTCTGCCTGGTCTGCAATCTGTTTGCTTCTGCTGAAATTTCTAGAGATATCTTCAAGACTTTTTGATCAGATGACAGAAACGTTTGCATTCCAGTTGGACAACTGCTTTGGGGATTTGGGAAAAGTAAACTGAGCAGGCCTAATGAAAAACATGAAGCTTCCTAAGGTTAAGATATTCTCCAAAATATATACTGTTCGGGTAATATAGTATTCTGTAAACCTTCTCTAGAGAATGTCTGTGACATTTTTAGCTGGTGTTTCATGAAATGTTAGATACTATTCTGAAAACAAAGATAAATTTCTCACTCTTAGAGCTGTAGGTAGAAATGATTATTTTTTTAACTCTTGTTTTGTCCTACTGACCATATGGGAACACTGAGTTTTGGGTGGCATAAATGTTCTTCTGAAAAAAATTACTTATTTTTCTTTTCAAAATATCTACTCAGAGATAACCACATTGGTCAATTATCAGCTGATAATACAATGAACTGTTAGAATTTTATCTCATCTAGTGCATTAATTCTCTACGACTGATCCTTGTTATATTAACATATGCTGTATAATTTTTTGTTAAATTTCCTCTTCTATTTACTATTTTACTTCACATAAGTATTATCAAGCTCTGGACTAAGCACATTTGTATCTCATTTTTTAAATTGTTTACAACATATGCTAAAGCTAATACATAAGCAATTCTTGATCTTTTGATATCCAACTATCAGATTTATTTACATACAGCTCATGTAAATAAAATTATTTAGAGGCTGTATTAGGATTTGCATAAGGTTCCTATATAGCTATGTTTCCAATACCAACTATTCTTCCAATTATATTAAAATTAGAGAATAACTTGAAATGGGTATTTCCCATTTAATTTTGTCTACATTTTAATCTATTATTCTTAAGCCAATATTTCATGCCAGAAATTTTTTATTAACAAATAGAGAATGAGGATCCAGTGTTATAAACAGGATCACAAATCCTAGATAATTACTTAATGGACCTGGGTTCAGTTTGAAAACATTTATTTACTTTTATTTGACTATATAAGAGCATCTCTTACATCATTAAAATTTTTGCTTCTTGATAGTTTGCTCTTATCATTTTCAACGTACTAAAAAAAGATTTTTTTCTTGTAGTTGCCAATCTCTCTCCCATGTCTAGATTATTTTATTCATTCATACTTCTTGAATACAATTATAACTAGATAAAAGTCCAGAAAAGAAATAGCATCTGAATTAGCTGATTCATGCTTAACTAGTGAATTACAAAATAATTAATCTGTAATTGTCATAATCTGTGTAACATGATATGTATCAATTGAAATTTACAAAACAATGTGCACTTTTTTACTTGTAATAATTCTCCTGTTTCTAATTGTTGCTTGATATATGTACCTTTATATTTCTATTGAAAGGACATTAGTAATTACATAAAATTTTAGTTAAAATGGACTATATTAGATGAAGTTCAGAAAAAAATCTATAAAATGTGAAAAAAATTAAAATTAGTATTATATTAATGTATCATATATTAGTAATACAATCATAGTTTTCATTTTATAAGCAATTATATATATATAATTTTAAATTACTATTTTATCTCAAAATATAGTAAATTAGATAACGTTATTGTGTGTATATTTTGATTTCTTGAATTTTCTAGTCTGTTACCTTAATTATTGTCTATAGAACTTAACACACTTTGTTAACTTTAAACAGGATGCCACTTTCTTGACTACTGAACTCTAATATTAAAATAAACTTAGATTGCTTTTAAAAAACTTTACAGAAATAAAAACTTTTTAAAGTTTGTGTATAACATAATAAAATTAATAACTCTACCAACAATTTATACCAAAAATAGCCTTATTTTAGTTAGCAATAGATAGCATTTTATCAATTCAAATGAGTTAATGTATTTTCTTATGTTTCCAATGATCTTTTATTAAAGCACATTTCTAGCCATTTTTAATTTGCAAAATGATTTCAAAACCATTATTTCATTTGAGATTCACAATTGTTCTGTGAGTAGATATTATAGCTACTATATTCAGGTTAAATAGTTAGGGAAACAAAGACTCCGGTTTATTAAATAACTTGCTCAAGTTCACATGTCAACCAAGTAGTAGAAATGGGACCCAAATTGCATTCCTCCGAATCAACATTCTGCAACTTTTCTATAATACCATGAGACTGTAGCAAGAAATCAAACTCATATAAACATAGAAAAAATTAGGGGGAAAAGAACACCTGATTTTTAGAATCTCAACAAATTATGGCAATTAGTGAAATATTTTGTCAAATTTATGTCAAAATGTAGCCTTAGTTTCCCATTTTAATTTAATTTTATTTCAATGTACAGGACTGTGTTATATGAATGTTGCCCTGGTTATATGAGAATGGAAGGAATGAGAGGCTGCCCTGCAGGTAAAATCTCAATTTCTTGAATTAAATAAGGAACATGTTATATGCAAGGATAGGGTTGAGGTGGCTTGTGGAGAAGTCAATTGTATGCGTGTATTTCAGCACCATCCTAAATCCAAGATATGTCCCTCTGATTTTTGTGTTAATCATGAATTTATCACAATGATAAAATATAAGAACACATTTCTCATGGACTGGATGCTGGGCAATACAAAGAAACTTGGTCAGAAATTTAAGTTAGCTCAGCTTCCCATTAAGGAACAAAACTCTACAAAATCCCTTTCTTTGAACTTTTCTACGAACGTGGAACTTCACTACTTGGCAAAACTTCATCTTCTCTGGTTGAATAGCTCTGATTTTATAATGTTCCTTATATTGAAATTTGGTTTCCTATACCTCTGCCAACCATAGAAAATAGCAGTTCATCTATTTCCTCTTTGAAATGGCAGCCATTCAGATATTCCATGCCAATCATCACACCTTTCCTCCAGCTACCATCTCTTCTTGAATAAAATCTTCTGTTCTCTGAGCTAACCATCCCCAATTCTTCTAATATGACATAGACTCTGACCCTCCCCATTATAACACCAACCCATGTAAAATCTCTAGTCCAGCAATCTTTTCTCTTAATATAAACCCAGACTGATATTTAAAGTCCATCCATGTGGGTCTGAGAAGTAGAGACAATACCAAGATTTGGGGAGATCTTGCACTTTGGATAATGTCATTGACAACTATGTGACATCATTAGCTTATATTGAATTTTGAATCAATTAAAATTGATTACAGATTACACACATTGTTAAGTCGGGTCTCTAGGATTTGTTTTTCTCAATTTAGGCACAGGAATTACATGGAACCTTGTGAAATTTAACCTTTTTCATTTTGACTCAGTTTCTCCATTTTAAGGATCTTTTAAAATCCCAGTTTTATACTTCAATAGTTGTTTAACCAAATCTAAGGATATTTGCAAATTTAATAACCATTTCTTCTTCTATGCTGTTAATCAAATTGTACTAATTTTCAAATCAAATAGGGTCAGAAAAAATAAGTTTATGGTACATTATTCAATAAACCACTTCAGGTTGACATTCACACGTGAATCTTTCTTCTGACATTCAGGAGAAATATTCTGGAAGCATTACATATTTTGAATTATTTGCTCCTAGAAATTGTAATGAAAACAAGCAGGCCTACATATTTTTTTAGGGACTCAAATCTATAAAATTGATAGATTTAAATAACAGAAAATAGTCAATTGTAATTGAATTATTATTGATGTAGCAGGATTGAGCTCTAAATAGGTTAAATGTTAAACCAGTATGATAGTATACAATTTCCTTTCCTCAACACAAAGAATATGTAAAATAATATTTTTCAATAGCATTTATTATTTAGCACTCAAAAGATAACTTTTCCATAAAATTGATTATTGATATAATTTTTTGCTAAAATTATTACCTGGAACCTTATGAAATTTAACCTTGTTCATAAAGTTTAAATGATTGTGAATAACATGCTGAGATTATTCTCAGTACTTACTTATTTCTTGATTATTTCAGTCATGCCCATTGACCATGTTTATGGCACACTGGGCATTGTGGGAGCCACCACAACACAGCGGTATTCTGACGTCTCAAAACTGAGGGAGGAGATCGAGGGAGAGGGATCCTTCACTTACTTCGCACCGAGTAATGAGGCTTGGGACAACTTGGATTCTGTAATTCACTACTTTTTCAATATATTTATTTTTGGTGATATTGTTGTTTCATTTTAACTGATTTATTAACTTGAATATTAATAAAATTTTATATCATTCTATTGTATACGTATGAAGATACATAAAGGGATGAGTTATTGAGGGACGTAAAACATCTTAATGCATCTGCAAATACAACAACTCTCCAGGAGACTTATACATTAATTTTTTTAAGAAGGGGAACCAAGAATCAGCTAAAAGGGCACTTATCCTGTTGTACTTGTTTCCTCTCTCCTTATTGTTTGTGAGGAAATATATGTAATTTCAGGTAACATGTCTAACAAAAAGGTAAGTTAAGAAGCCTACTGAAATTTAAAATTATCATAAGCTGTGTTATATAGCTGTATTTTATTATGTATATTTAATTATATGTAAATATATATGGATGTTCAGATTGTCAAATTTGTATGCATGTATGTGGATAGTTAAATGAAATGTGAAAACACAATTGATTTTTGGACATTTGCGCACAGTCTAATTTACAATACCCTAAATTATTACTCATTTCTGAATCTATAAAACTGAAATAATGTATTTTCATTCCTGCTTTCTACTAGATATGGAGATTAATTGATAATTATAACTAGAGCCAAATATACTTAATAAAGTTTAAGAATACATCTGTAGGCATTATTGGCTACATTAGTTGTGTGGTTAGTTGCTTGATTATAGGACTCTCTCTTCTGGTTGTCTTTCACGACATCTCTAACCACTTCTCCTGTTCTTTTTGCTGACTCCTCTTCTTCCTTGACTTAAAGAATGGAATTTATAAGAATTTCTTCCAGCAAGATGATCCTGCTCTTTAAATGCACTTATCATTGTTTCAGCTACCACTTTAGGGCGTACAAACATTATGTCTATGCTTGTTGTTTGGACTTCTTTCTTCTTGGAACTTCAGTAGAATATTTCTAGGTTTATCTTAGTATTTATCCCTGAATATACCATCTGCATCTTTAAACAAAAGTTATCTAAAACATATGCCATTTTATTTCCTCCCATAAATAATTGGTTTTTTATTGCCTTTTTCCCCCCAATTGGCACTACCAGCCTCAACATTCAGATTTGAAAATTTTGAGCCATCCTTACCTCCCCTTTCTCCAATTCTTTTTTTTTTTTTTTACTTTAGGTGTATATTATATCCAGCATTTCTCCCCATGTTATTCCTCCCCACCCTTCCCACAACCCCGTCTCTCCCTACCACCCCAACTGTCCCCAGTGTGTGATGCTCCTCTCCCTGAGTCCACGTGTTCTTATTGTTCAATATCTACCTATGAGTGAGAATATGTTGTGTTTGGTTTTCTGTTGTTGTGTCAGTTTGCTGAGAATGATGGCTTCCAGATTCATCCAAGTCCCTACAAAGGACACAAACTCATCTTTTTTTATGGCTACGGAGTATTCCATGGTGTATATGTACCACATTTTCTTTGTCCAGTCTATCATTGATGGGCATTTGGATTGGTTCCAGGTCTTTGCTATTGTACACAGGGCTGCAATGAACATATGTGTGCATGTGTCTTTATAGTAGAATGATTTATAGTTCTTTGGGTATATGCCCAGTAATGGAATTACTGGGTCAAATTGAATTTCTATTTCTAGATCCTTGAGAAATCTTCACACTGTCTTCCACAATGGTTGAGCTAATTTACAGTCCCACCAACTGTGTAGGAGTGTTCCTATTTCCCCACATCCTCTCCAGCATCTGTTGTCTCCAAAGTTTAAATGATTGCCATTCTAAGTGGCATAAAATGGTATCTCAATGTGGTTTTGATATGTATTTCTCTAATGACCAGTGATGACGAGTATTTTTTCATATGTTTTTTGGCCTCATCTATGTCTTCTTTTGAAAAGTGTCTGTTCATATCCTTTGCCCACGTTTGAATGGGGTTGTTTGCTTTTTTTCTTGTATATCTGTTTTAGTTCTTTGTAGATTCTGGGTATTAGCCTTTTGTCAGATGGGTAGATTGCAAAAATTTTTTCCCATTCTGTTGGTTGCCAGTTTGCTCTAATGATGGTTTCTTTTGCTGTACAGATGCTTTGAATTTTAAGTAAATCCCATTTGTCTATCTTGGCTTTTGTTGCCATTGCTTTTGGTGTTTTAATCATGAAGTTCTTGCCTATGCCTATGTCCTGGATGGTTTTGCCTATGTTTTCTTCTAGTGTTTTTATGGTGTTTGGTTTTATGTTTAAATCTTTAATTCATCTGGAGTTAATTTTAGCATAAGGTGTCAGGAAGGGGTCCAGTTTCTGCTTTCTGCACATTGCTAGCCAGTTTTCCCAACACCATTTATTAAACATGGAGTCCTTTCCCCATTGCTTGTTTTTGTCAGGTTTGTCAAAGATCAGATGGTTTTAGATGTGTGGTGTTGCTTCTGGGGCCTCTGTTCTGTTCCATTGGTCTATGTCTCCATTTTGACACCAGTACTATGCTGTTTTGATTACTGTAGCCTTGTAGTATAGTTTGAAGTCTGGCAGTGTGATGCCTCTGGCTTTGTTCTTTTTGCTTAGAATTGTCTTGACTATGCAGACTCTCTTGTGATTCCATATGAAGTTTAAAGTGTTTTTTTCCAGTTCTGTGAAGAAGGTCATTGGTAGCTTGATAGGGATAGTGTTGAATCTATAGATTACTTTAGGCTTTATGGCCATTTTCACTATATTAATTCTTCCTAACCATGAGCATGGGATGTTTTTCCATCTGTTTGTGTCCTCTCTTATTTCGTTGAGCAGTGGTTTGTAGTTCTCCTTGAAGAGGTCCTTTGTATCCTTTGTTAGTTGTATAACTGCTGTTAGTCTTATCTCATGTTTCATCTAAAGTGATCCACCTAGTACTCTCATTTCTGCTGTACATTACCTCTCAACTTTCCTGAAGCCTGATTCTAATCATTAAATTCCAATGCCACAAAATCTTCAGTGGTTCCTCACTGCCACTTAATTTTACCACTTAGGGCATTAAAGTCATCCACATTATTGTCCAACATACGCTTCTGAAGATCTTTCTTAATAGTATCTGAGAAACATAAAAATATGTATTAACCAAACTAGACAACTTTTGCCTTCTTGACATTCACCCTAAGTCAGTACTGGATTTAGAAGACCACCATATCAATCTCATCTCCTCTTCAAGATCTATCTCCAAACTACCTCTGAAAAGCTGTTCTTTCTTATTTGAGCCCTGAAAGCATTTTTTCCCTTTGTCCTATATCTTACTGTGTCTACTTTTACTTGCTGCTATATTATAAACACATTAATGGTTGTGACTTTATGCTTTACTTATTATGTTTCCCACAGCATTGAGTAAAGCATAATATAATACATGGTATTCGATAGATAAAAAGGTACAGAATGGTTGAATTCTTGAATTGGCTATGGAATAAACACGAAACCCTGTTAAAACAAATGTTGCATACAAATATGATGCCATTTTTGTTTTGTTTTGTTTGCCACTTAAAATAGTTAAAATCTCTGATAATTTCATATCTCCCTAATTCTTATCATTTTATTATTTATATCAAGATTGTCTCTTCATCAACATATTCACTTTAAAAATTGTGCTCCAAGCACTCTATCACATTCCTTAACCAGTTGTAATAATATAATTTCAAGTTATTTATGTGAATTTTGTATGTCCATCTGATAATGCAATGAGAAAATAGCAAGAGAGCAGATATAGGGTGATCATAAGACTTTTACTAATGATCCACAGTAAATTAAACTTCTATCATTGCAATTTTTCCTAGGATATCCGTAGAGGTTTGGAGAGCAATGTGAATGTTGAATTACTGAATGCTTTACATAGCCACATGGTTGATAAGAGAATGTTGACCAAGGACTTAAAAAATGGCATGATTGTTCCTTCAATGTATAACAATTTGGGGCTTTTCATTAACCATTATCCTAATGGGGTAAGTTTTTTCAGTAAAAAGTACATTTATGAAAAGTACACTGATAAAATGCTTCTTTAATTTTGTCTATACTTTTTATATAATGCTCACAAAAATAATAAAATGTTAGTGAGAACAAGTAAGTGCTATATTATGACTTCCTCCCAAATCTAGGGCATGTAAATTTCCAATCTAGTTATAATGATTGTAAAGGACAAATCACATGAACAGTTAGTTGACAGTAGGCAGGTATTCTAAAAAAAGAAATTTTATTAGTTGATGTATTTGAAATAATTTATGGTAATAGCAAAAAGAGTAATCAAAGAATGAGTGTTCTCTAGCTACTGTAACTGAAGTTCTTTTGTGTTTGGATCAGTTTTTGCAGGAAACTGCCAATGGGGTCATAGGACTTTTTCCATAGCCAAGTTCTCGGGGACAAAAGAGGTCAGCGATGAAGCAATATTTAGGAAGTTCTTGTAATAGAACTAATTATATCTATACAATAATTATTTGTTTCTCCCTCTCAAAACTTATTTTAGGACTAATTAGGCTTCTTTATGCCATTCATCGACCCACATTAAAAAGTTTGTGACTATCTGCATAAAAGAGAGGAGGAACAAAAGCAATAATTGGAATGAAAAAACACCTGTGCCTTATGTTGCTAGATATGTTAAGTGTGTCTAGACTTGGGTTTTGAATTGGTTCCCTTTTCTCTCACAGCATCTTTTTTAGAGATAACAACATGTAATTCTTCATCCACAGCATTTACATTTAGGATATAGTTTTCCTTCTGTTACATTTGCTAGTATAAATGAAAAACTGGGAATGGGCTTGCAGTCTCAGTGGTCAATGGATGTCTCTAATTTCAGCACTTTGATTTTTCCAAATAATTATAGGTTGTCACTGTTAATTGTGCTCGAATCATCCATGGGAACCAGATTGCAACAAATGGTGTTGTCCATGTCATTGATCGTGTCCTTACACAAATTGGTAACTCAATTCAAGACTTCATTGAAGCCGAAGATGAACTTTCATCTTTTAGAGTAAGTTCAAGAGCACATTGTCTTATGTCATTGAAATCCCTCCTCTTCTCCTGTCAAAAATCTAAAAACAATAAAAATGCTATAAATCTGGCAAAAATGTTACAAATATAGTTCTTGGAATGAATACTATTTTCATTTTAAACATGGGAAATCCTCTCCTCATATGAAATAATATTTCTATGGAAGTGATAGACTAAGAATGGTTAGTCATGTGACTGGAGGATATTTAGTACATTTAGAACGTGTTCATCTGTTACTATATCTACTGCCGGATATTGCGACAGTCCCACAAACATGGGCAGAATTTCCATTCTTGCAAACACAATTTGAAGACAGTTGGAAAAGACATGGTTGTGTCAAAAAGTAAGATTTTGAAGCTCTAACAAGAACAAACCCGTACAATGTAGGAATCAACTCCTTCATGTCAGCCTAGGCTAAGCATGTTGTGATTTTCTTTTGGATTTACAATGTGAAAACCTCTAAAAAGCACATATTTGTTTCAGGCAGCTGCCATCACATCGGACATATTGGAATCCCTTGGAAGAGAAGGTCACTTCACACTCTTTGCTCCCACCAATGAGGCTTTTGAGAGACTCCCACGAGGTGTTCTAGAAAGGATCATGGGAGATAAAGTGGCTTCTGCAGGTAGTTAAATGGTTTCCCCTCTAAGAAGTCTCCCAGCATTCTGAGAAGGAAATAAAAACAAGGCTAGTTCTTGCCAGTAATGTTAGATTTAATAAGCAAAGGTAAAGAAAAACTTTTATTCTGAGATGTAATATGAGTCTTTCAAAAGTCCTTGAAGAAGCAGGCAGGGTGTAATTCTTACATAATAAGAATACTCTTAAGATCACATTCTTTTATATTATTATTATTTATTTATTTATTATACTTTAAGTTCTGAGGTACATGTGTGGAATGTGCATGTTTGTTACATAGCTATACATGTGCATGGTGATTTGTGGCATCCATCACCCTGCCATCTACATTAGGTATTTCTCCTAATGCTTCATACTGCTTTCAAGTAAATAAGTAGTAGATATTCAGAAGGATTATCAGGTGTTGGAAAGAAATATTAGATCATCAAATTTTAATATTGTAAACATGTTATGCAATGCTTTTAATTCTGTATTTATGCCAAAGGGTATTATTGAGTTGTGAGAGTTGTATGGTTCTCTTGGCCCACTAACTACTGATACACAGAAGAATTTGGTGGCTTTCCAAGCTTCCTTTCTATTGTTAGATAGGTTTTACATTGTGCTTGCATACTTTACATACTCAACCTATCCTGAAATACGTTTAACCAATTTAAGATGAGAAATTTTTAGGATGCACAATAAACATAATGTAGTTGAGGCATAGATCTCTCCAGAGGTCTCTCAATAAATCATCTCTATTTGGCTACTTTCCAGAAGTTGCCTTCATGAAATAATTTGTTTTACCCTCAGCTTCTATCGACCTCATTACACGTTATGTACAAATATTCTGCTATGATCAGCTAATACAAGATATTGCCCTTGGGTATTTTGGAATTTAACAGGCCTTCCTTTTTCTTAAATTTTGGTAGAGAGGGGTCTTGCTGTGTTGCCCATGATGGTCTTGAACCCCTGGCCTCAAGCGACCCTCTCACCTAGGCCTCCCAAATTATTGGGATTATGGGTGTGAGCCATCGTGCTAGTGAAATGTCTTCTGAAAGAACCAATTCTTGCTTTCACATCAGGAGTTACTTTCTGATGACAGCTGAAACTTAATCTACCGCGTTTTCTAATACTGCGCAAATCATTTCCTGAAACAGATCTTCTCCTCTTATAATTCCTACCAAGCTGAGCTGCTTCTGTTTTGTAGTTGATAGGAAAAAACTTCTAGAACATAAATAGGAATTTAAAGCTGTTAGTGAATCCTTAGGTCTTACCACATTCTAAGAAATACGTGATTTCCGAGATTGCGCCACTGCACTGCAGCCTGGCGCCTGGCAACAGAGCAAGACTCTGTCTCAAAAAAAAGAAAAGAAAAAAAAATACACTTAGTTCCACACTGAAACACATCTTTTCAGAGTCAAATGTTATTTTCCTTGTTCTGAAAGCTAGCGCTTTTTATTGTATTCTCCAGCTCTCATGAAGTACCACATCTTAAATACTCTCCAGTGTTCTGAGGCTATTATGGGAGGAGCAGTCTTTGAGACACTGGAAGGAAATACAATTGAGATCGGATGCGACGGTGACAGTATAACAGTGAACGGAATCAAAATGGTGAACAAAAAGGATATTGTGACAAATAACGGTGTGATCCATTTGATTGATCAGGTCCTCATTCCTGATTCTGGTAAGAAACGGTTTTATATATTTTTACAAGTTACTATAATTCACCAATTATGCTGTCTCAAAGAGTAAGTTGGTGAAAAATGAATGTGCAGTATAAAGAATGGCAGGGAAAGTGCTAACTAAATAAATAGTGAGATACTTGAGCTCTTCATAGATAGTGTAGTAATGGGCACTCCATGCATGAATCTTTGGCTTGCAGGGTTCTGACATCTAATGTTTATAAAGGTTTTCACAGTGCCAGAGTTTTTCTTGGACAAAGAAGGAAAGATCTGACCAAATGATCAGCTTTGGATAAATGAAAAAGCTGCGGAATTCACAGGGTAGAGAGATAGGAGAGATGAACAAAAGAGAATCAAAGAAACATGCAGTAGGAAGACAGAAAGATATTTTCCTTCTGAAATTCATTGTGATTATCAGCCCCTTCCAGAAAATTGTAGTGGAACTCTTTTACAAGGGAGGGGCAGGATGTCTTACCATACTGAAGTTGCAGTAAATAGCTTACAATGTTAGAAAAGAGACAGGAATTGATTTAGTGGTTTCAGGACGGAGATAATAGCAATGACGACATTGTTAGGATGGTGATGGTTTATTTTTCAGCCAAACAAGTTATGGAGCTGGCTGGAAAACAGCAAAGCACTTTCACGGATCTCGTGGCCCAGTTAGGCTTGGCATCCGCTCTGAAGCCAAATGGAGAATACACTTTGCTGGCACCTGTGAATAATGCATTTTCTGGTATGTACTGGACACTGTTGTTCTTATTCTCTGCCTCATACCTTTTCTTCTTTATGATGGCTGTTTGCAGTAAGAAAGAATACATGTTTTATGAGGTTGAAAGAATACATGTTTCATGATTGTTTGCAGTAAGAAAGAATACATGTTGATTAGTTTCCGCACTGGCTACACATACAATATGTTAGTACTATGTTGTCTCTACTAAAATGTTCTTCATTTCAAAAAATTTTATTATAATGAATAATAGCCTACAGGGAGTGAAAGTTTATACTAAAGAGTATTCACAGGCAGGGTGTGATGGCTCACGCCTGTAATCCCAGCACTTTGGGAGCATGAGATCAGGAGTTTAAGACTAGCCTGGCCAAGAGAGTGAAACCCCATCTCTACTAAAAACTACAAAAGTTAGCCGGGCACAGTGGTGCACACCTGTAATTCCAGCTACCTGAGATGATGAAGCAGGAGAATCTCTTGAACCCAGGTGGCAGAGGTTGCAGTGAACCAAGATCACACCACTGCACTCCATCCTGGGTGACAGAGCAAGACTCCATCTCAAAAAATACGTTAATTAATCAATTAAAAATATTTTAATAAAGGATTTTCAGTTTCTCTGTGAATCTAATATTTCCAGCACAATAAGGATGCATTGATAGGTCTTCTGAAAAATAAAGCTGATTTGTTTATTTGATACCAACATAATAATATTTAGAAATAAATAGGTGTATTTTGCAACTCATAATTTGGATAGTAAGGGTGTCAAATTATAAATAAATAAAATGACAAGATTATACAATTCCATATCATGATTTAAAATAGTATACATAAATATTTCACCTAGTAGTTGCTATTCACAGACCATGTTCAGATTCACACAACCTGTCACCTTTCTCAGGACAATGATTTCACAAAGACATATTTAAATTGTTACTCAAAATTTATTAATTAAAAATAGGTAACACAATTTTTAATGGTTTTCCAAACTTAGTATTTTCCAAATACTAAACTGTGATATAGAAAACTATTAATCAAAAGAAAAATGAATTCCTAGGAATGCTGCCTTTCTTCTTTGTAATAATCATCCCCATGTATTTTGGCAGCAACCCATATTTAAGAGGTTGTTTGTTTTGATTCTCTTTCCAGTAATCAAGATTAACTTAGAGAGGATTTATCAATAGTTTTTCATGTGACTAGTGGACATCTAATTACTCAGAATAAACCTTGGCCACCATTAAGGTGTAGCATTTGCCAGTGACCACTATAAAACTATGTAGCCCTTACAGAGGTGACACTCATTGTTCAAAAGGGTTGGAACTATATTATTGTCATTTGATACAATGGATCACCGAGTTTCTACTTAGTGAATTGAATTGTTAGTTTTGAGCATTTAGTTGACTCATATATTATATGAGTGCAAAATCCATGATATTAATAATGTCAGGGATTATCTATTTACATGATTCCCTCTCACCAGGAGAAACTTTAATGCTTTCTAAATAAAATCATGCTCTTTCTTAATGAATTTATTTACAGATGATACTCTGAGCATGGATCAGCGCCTTCTTAAATTAATTCTGCAGAATCACATTTTGAAAGTAAAAGTTGGCCTTAATGAGCTTTACAATGGACAAAAACTGGAAACCATGGGAGGCAAACATCTCAGAGTCTTTGTATATCGGACAGTAAGTAAATCAGAATAAAATAAAAAGTCTGTCAAATGGCATGTCAAAGAATGCTGTTTCAATGAATATTTCCCAGAATTTTATGAATGTTGTTTTAATAGTAAATATTCATGGAAGCATCAGGGAACTGGCTAGCTTGGATGAAGACTGTGAGCAAAGTCCACAAAAAGTGCTAGGTATTAAAAACTCAGATCGTTTGCATGTGTTTCATTATAAGTAATTTTGTGTTTTAAAGCATCAATTATTTTAAATTCTAGAAAGCACTAAGTTTTTATAAACTTTTTATTTGCTGAGTACTTTATAATTTACAAGATAATTCGTACGTAGGATCAAATATGCAAGGTGATATTATACTGGAAAATAACCAGCCAGCACCTGAATATGTTTTGAATAATTTTCAAGATAAACCTTTATTGACACATAGAGATTTCTGGACTTTATAAAATGGTCTTAATGTATTTTTTTAAAGAGACATAGTTTCACTGTCATCCAGGCTGGAGTGCAGTGGCACAGTCATAGCTCATTGTAATCTTAAACACCTTGGCTTCGAGGGATCTTCCCACCTCAGTCTTCTGAGTAGCAAGGACTATAGGTGCACACCACCATACTGGCTAATTTTTTAATTAATTTTTTTTTGAGACAAAGTCTCCTGCATTTCCCAGGCTGGTCTTAAACATCCAGCCTCCAGTGAACCTCCTAATTCGGCGTCTCAGTGTGCTAGGATTATAGGCATGAGCCACTGCACCCAGCCCTAAGGTACTTTTGGATGCAGGAAAATTTATAGAAATATTGCTTATCAAACTGACAGTGCAGCTAATGATACATTTAGTATCTGTCCAGGTAACCCATGCAGCTACAGCTAAAATAGTTCACAGGAAGTCAGGCATTACCTAGAACTGAATCTGGCACATGGCAGCAGCTCCCTGTGTTTCAAACACGCATTTTTAAGTATGCATTGAATGGGCTGCACTTTAAATTTTGTATACATATATATATATATATAAAACATTTGTTCAAAACACTATAAATATGTCAATGATTTGGCTTATAATGATGAATAGGGTCTTACAGTTAAGAAAATAAAGTAAATATTTGTGAAGATCCCTAAAAGCACTAATGTAAGGAAACTTTACAGATGGTGTTGACCAAAAGAGGGTGTGGAGAAATAGTTCAAATCTAGATAGAAATGATAAAAAATGTAGAAGCGGGATTCAATGAAATTTTCGTAATTTGTTAACAAAATTACCTGCCTGATCCATAGGGTAGTTTGACTTATTTTTAAAAATCTGGCTGGATAAGAAGTGCCTTGTGAGTTTGTATGAGCCACTGTATGAGCTGTTAAGTGGCCTCAGACAATAGGCAACCTCTCAGAAGGGCTGATCCAGAAATTTAATTATGTAGTTACATCTATATGCAAAAATTCAAGCAAGGAAAAGGACACTCCATGCCTTTCTTTCCTTTCCTAGTCCGTCTGCGTTGAAAATTCATGCATGGTGAGAGGAAGTAAGCTAGGGAGAAACGGCGCTATTCACATATTTCGTGAGATCATCAAACCAGCAGAGAAATCTCTCCATGAAAAGTTAAGACAAGATAAGCGCTTTAGGTAAGCCTATCACTGGCACCTCCACAAAGAATGAGAGCTATTGGCATATTTTTGTTTTATAGGAAGTATCCCAAAAGACATTCAGTCTTCTATATGGTTGAAAATATAATTTAGAATAAAATGTCCATATAAATGTTTTCAAAATTGATACACGTTTTCACTGCTACTTCCTGGTGCACCATAATAAGATTTTGTGTGTAAAAACAAATCTAACAAAGTAAACTACTTTTTGACATTTTTCTTACAAACAGTTTTTAGAAATTGGTGGTATATATAGCAAAGATTATTTTGTGGAGTATTAAATGACAAAAATGCTTCTTTTTTGTTATATGTGACCTTGTCAAGTTTTATAGAATGAAATCAGTTGAAAAAAATTTTTAAATTATATTATATATTTCAATCATTTTTCATAATAAAACTTTTAATCGGTAAATTATATTTGAAACACTTGAAAATGTATAAGCAGTTCTCTCATGCTTTCCGCAATACATGGATTCCGTTCTATTACACGCACTGTACGTGAATATACCTAAATCAAAATCTGACAAAATAAACGTACATCCTTCCCATTTAGCACCTTCCTTAGCCTACTCGAAGCTGCAGACTTGAAAGAGGTCCTGACACAACCTGGAGACTGGACATTATTTGTGCCAACCAATGATGCTTTTAAGGGAATGACTAGTGAAGAAAAAGAATTTCTGATACGTGAGTAGAAGCGAATTCCAGACATTTTCCCCTTCATTTCAAGATCTCATTTCTTTATCGAGATTTCCTGTCCAGATTTCTGCCTTAAAAATATCCCCTCTTTGGTATTCATGGCAAGCTTTAGTTTCCTTTAATTTCATTCACTTGGGATGTGTGGAGGGTCACTCAGTAATCTTAAACTGTTTACTGTCATACTGTTGAGCTAGATGTTCACTTATTAAAGAACATGTTAGAAGGGGACAAAGAAGAAAACAGTTATAATTTAGAAAATAATTAAATGTTTTTCTGCCAGTAAGTTCTATTTTGATTAGGCTAATTGCAGTGACTCTGTTTTGACATAGCATTGCTATCTATTTGAGAGAATAATGACATTCTGAGAAAGTACGATATGGAAAAAAATAATGACAAATAAATGTTTTATTTCTTAGTCCCTATCTATCAAAAAGTCATATTATTGAGTAAAAAAAGTATATTTTTCCCCTAGGGGACAAAAATGCACTTCAAAACATCATTCTTTATCACCTGACACCAGGAATTTTCATTGGGAAAGGATTTGAACCTGGTGTTACTAACATTTTAAAGACCACACAAGGAAGCAAAATCTTTCTGAAAGGAGTAAGTTGTCTAGAATGAATTTATGATTGTGTCCATCCATCATTAAATTATCTAAATATTCACCCTTAATTATATGTCATCATTGAAATTGCCTCCTATTTTGATAGGCAAATGATACACTGCTGGTGAATGAATTGAAATCAAAAGAATCTGACATCTTGACAACAAATGGTGTAATTCATGTCGTAGATAAGCTCCTCTATCCAGCAGGTTGGTAATTATCGAACTCACTGATGGGCTAAGTCTTTTTTAATATGAACCTAGATTTTTATTTTATGCTTTCTTACCAACATTCATTTAATATTCCTCTTCATAGACATACCTGTTGGAAATGATCGGCTGCTGGAAATACTTAATAAATTAATCAAACACATCCAAATTAAGGTATTGAAAGTTACTTGATTTATTTCTAATACGTAAAACACATATTAACAGTTTAACATAACAGACTAGAAATGTACGCATTAATGAGTAAATATATACTGGGCTTGGATTGCTCTTTGTTGTTTATGCACCACTCACCCACCTATAAAGAAATGACATCATTTCTTTGTGGTTTTGTTCAACAAATATTTATTTAAAGCTAAGCAGGACCAAGTATTGTATAAAGCATTATGAAAAATATGTATTTAAACTGGACATCGTCTTTATTCAAAAAGTTTACAGTCCAATTTAGACAACTAAGCTGGTATATAATCTTTCTATCATTCAATACTTTCACTACAGAATATAATAGAAAGATCATTCACTTAAAAAAAATGGTCACTAATCACAGATTAAAAGCAAAGGAATATTTTTCTTCTTTGTCAATGTAGGGTAAAAGTAGAAGAAAACATAAATAGTGTTTAACAAATATATTTAACTTTGGATTAATTATTCTATAATTTTTAAATCTGAGTAATTAATCCAATGATTTTTATGCCATCTGACCTGATAGCATCTAATTGGAAGATGATTTATATGAGGACTTCACTTCTATTAAGTGTAATAATAGCTTCACTATTTTTACTTTAGTAAAAATTAAAGTGGTGCCATGGTTTTGTTAACACAACTATCGCATTTCATGTTACTAAATATAAACATTTATTTTCAGTTTGTTCGTGGTAGTACCTTCAAAGAAATCCCCATGACTGTCTATAGTAAGTATACAATAAATATTGGCCACATAGGTGGCAAGGTATGAAAAAAGAAAACAATACACTTCTTTGTATTTACAGAGATTATTGATAATCTGGTATTTAGAATTCCAAACTATGGCCAATAACATTTCACTTGAAACAGGGCTTGAGGTCCCAGATAACATTCAACCCCAATGAAATTCTTCCCCACTCAATGGAAAAACAGGAATGATATGATATGAGAAATATAGCAAAATATAATATTAGTGTGGCAAAGAGGCAGAAAAAAAAGACATACAAAGGGAAGAGATGGCATAAAGAGCTTCTAGAAATATCTAAAAATTCAGATGTGTGGACACAGAAATGACCTTACCAAAGACTTGTTCATGCCACCTTCAAGCCCTGAGCTGTCTAAGGTCAGGCTGAGAAGCAAGAGTTAAAAAATATTAGTGTTTATGGAGTGGCAGTTCAAAAACTCTCTCATTTAAAATTGGACAAACGTGACAAATCTAAAGTTTCTAAATTCCAGGGTTCCTTGATCTCTGACACTACCAGATTATCAAAATTAAACCTCTACTACTTAACAATGGTAAAGGGTACTTCGTTCTCATAAGTGTAGCTGGTAGATGTCTTTTCTATCATGTCTTTATATCTTTTTCTTTCTTTCACTGTAGCTTTCAAGCAGAAATTCTTTTCATTTTGTTTTGGCTCTCCAATTAAGCACTCAACATGTATCGGTAGCTAAAACATTACTTCAATCCCCACATTTATTCTGGCTAGAAAATCATTTCATTTTATACCATGAGCATCCAGTTATTTAATTAAGAAAATTTCTCTTTAGATTATACTAGATATGGAAAAGGAGTAAAGCAAATGTAAGGAGCAAAACAAAATGTCTGCTGCTCTTGTTGATTTCAATTATGTAGTAATAACATGCAATTCAAGGATCAGGCCAGCTCAAAACTGTATTAAAGACTTAATTGGAATAGTTATGATTCATCATGGGAATACAATCTTGTAAAAAATGTGTCTTCAAAAAATTAAAGAATATTTATGGCTCTATTCATCAGACATGCTATGCCATCTTTCTTCATCAAAGGTATAAATCTATACATACATACATACACATACACACACACACACACACACACACACACACACACACATTTGCACTATATTTCTTTAGCTTTCCTTCTTTACCCATCTTAGTTTCACTACTTTCTATATAAGTGAATGCAAAACTACAATGAGCAAAAATATTATAATTATTTTCTTCTACTAAATTGCATCCTCACTCACGGAGCGTAAGCTACATTTTATGAAATTATAAAAGTTCAATGACCATTCCCTACCTACTCAGAGGCCCCGAAACAGCTCTGACATTTACATTCCAATGTAAGATGTTTCTTTTACTCCTCTTTAGATGGTATGCTGTTATTAAGAAGTATTTTCAAATAGAAGTAAAGATAAATTAAATCAAATTTTATATTTTTATATTTCGTTGTTGACTTGTCTCTAAAATTCCTTTAACTTTTTTGCTGCATATTATTCTCATCCCCAAAATAACATCCATTTTAAGGCGTATAGTTGAGGGGAAGTATGCTGTTTTGGTATAAGTTGTCAAATATGGAACATTTAACCTGGAGAGGACTAAGATCAATATTTAATCCTCTTGAGAGACCATCACCTATCAAAACTATTTAAGTCTTCAAAAAAATCAAGATTAAAATGAAAACTACCAATCAACTAAACCTCCAAAACTTCAAATTTCTCAACATAATGTAAAAAATTTAATCTAAAAGTAATTAATCAATTTTGATAGTAGCAATAGAGACCCCAATGCATTCGACCATCATGGAAAGGTCCTCCTGTGGCAAGACCACCTGTGCAACCAATAATTGAACAGAAAGATTTGTTACAGTTTAGAGCCTCACAATTTGAGATCTCAAAATCTAAAACGTAAGTCTGAAACAGTCTCTATGAAGGCTAAGAACCCGCATTAGTTCAAAAAGTTGACACAGCTAAACATCTCAGAAGCATAAGCTGAGAACTGCGGAAACCGAAGCTGTGCTATCTCACCTCTGCTGTGCTGATGTGATCTGAGTGCACAGTTAGTTTTAGTGTGGCCCATTATCTAACAGAACCATCTTTCAAGGCTTTTCGTTAGAAATTACAAAAAGCCAGCAGCTCTGGCTGTGTGGCTTCAGAGGCACATTTCCAGTTAATCAGTACAATCAAAGTCAACCAAATAGTTGACTGGTATTTTATTTTATTTACTTTTATTATAGATACAGGGGGATACACATGCAGGTTTTTTAGATGGATATGTTGAGTAATGCTGGGGTTTGGGTTTCTAGTGAACCAATCACCCAAACAGCAAATGTAGTACTCAATTTATAGACTATTATCTTACTTAGGAAGATGACAGACGTTTAAAAAACATACCTTTAAATTAAAAAAAGAACATTGTGATAACAAAACTGAAAATTAAAGACATTTTAGCCTATAACTTAAATACTGATCATATCATATTTGTTGAATAGAGCTCATGTCTGGCTGGCTGAAATTTTTTCTTACTTTTAAGTATTCTGAACTATTTTTCGTTTTTTCCTTTCTATGTCACTTTTATCAGATGCATGAAAAACATTTTAAAAGGCTTTTCTTTCATTTTTTCTTTTAATTGAGAAAGAATCCAGCAATGCAATTTAAGATATTATGAATTGCATGACATTAATCATATTTGTCTTCTGTTGCAATGCAGCCAATATTATCAAGAAGTACAAAAGAAGGTAAAGCGTTTTAGTGGTACAATTAAAAATTACAGATTTCTAGATAGAATTTCTCATTCTGTGAGTATATATTTCACTGGATCAAATTCAAGTCACTGGACTTCTGAGTTCAACACCTGGACATGAGAAGATATTATATTACATACAAAGAATATTTCTTGTATCTGATTGCCTGAATATATTACCACATCCTATACCTTAGTACTCTACAGAGACAAAGAAAAAAAACCTTTGTTTAGGTTTTTATGTAAATATCATTCATGTTCCACTTTCTATACTTTCAGCAACTAAAATTATAACCAAAGTTGTGGAACCAAAAATTAAAGTGATTGAAAGTAGTCTTCATCCTATTATCAAAACTGAAGGTAAAAATCAATGTTATACATGGTTCCTTTTATTATGAAAACATCCATAAAAATACTGATTTCTATGAATGTATCTACATTCTTTTAATAACTAACATATTAAATATATCTATACGAATGGCATGCTCAAGTAATTGAAGAATGCGGAGTGCAAATTATTTAGCAAAGTAGTTGATGCATTCCTAATACTTTCAGTACATTTGCTTGTACTTGATTTAATTTGAATCTAATTGGCATTGCCTTAACACTAGTACCCAAATATTCACTAAACAAATACATCATGAGTTTTTTTTACTTGAGTCAGACTACTTCAGACTCTATATGCTTTTTGTTGCTTTGTTTCCAATCTCCCACATGTTCTTTTTTGGAGCAATACAAGAAGCTCTTCCAAAAGATAGCATATAAGCTATGTTTAATGAAAGCTTTTAAAATTATGGCCACACATGAGATGTTTTTTAATTAGACCATCAGAATTAGAAGAAAAAAGGAGTAGTTTATGCAGTGAGTTAATTTTTAAAATACTTAATTCCAGTCCTGAACATACTCTTAAATATGCATATATAAATTATATATGAAATATATACGTAATACACATACTCTCACACACACACACACACACACTCATACACACACACTCACACACACACACACACTCCTCTCCTGATTTTTCATACTAGAACATTAAATAAGCAGTCACTTGTCTCTATATTTTTAGTACTTATGTTAGCCAACTTCAACATCTTTGATGTTACTTTCATTTCATGTATTTTAATTATATCCAAGGATCACAACTTAAATTTTTTAAAATTTCCATCTATAAGCATCTTAATGTAGCAACATATCCAGAAAACAACTAATTATCTTCCTTGTGCTATAAGAAGGGTAGAAACAGTCTTCCAAAAAGAGATCAGATTGCATCTTTGATTGAATCTTTGAAAAACTATAATTGTAATTATCTTTGATTTTGCTATTTCTTTTGGTGGATTGAGAAGGTAATTTCTTGAATACTTTTACAAAGTAAGCCATTAATTTAAATTGATGCATTGAAAACACATAGGTAAAAATGGATTTCCTAGCTAATTAGTTATCATATTAGTATACATTCTTGAGACTTAAAATTGAGTTGTTCCTTGAAATCTGTCCTTGTTTTTTTAAAAATACTATATCATTATTTAATTAACTTTATATAGCAATGAAGAGAATTTAGTATTTTAAGAAGAAATTAACGAGAAATTTTGTTGAAAATGTATTCCTTGATCATTGTAATGAAACATGACACAATGATCTTTGATAATATAATTGATTTTAAAATCAAATCTTATCCTGTTTTAAAAAAAATCAGATTCCCTAGAATTTTGCACTATAACTTGTGCACAGCTTCTTTATCTGAAATTATTTAAATGTGCCATTTTCTTATTTTCAAAGATTCTCCTCCTTTGAAGCTTCTTTATTCAACTCATTATCTCCTCAATCTTTGTCAGTAGGATTCTATCCTACTAATCTTTCTTCAGTTAAGATCACACTGGAGTATCAACTTTACTTGGCTTCTTCTTATAAAGGGAACATGGATGAAAAAATGGAGCTGTGTCACCTATTCATTAATAACTTGAGTTCAGAAATAAAGAAATTACACTCCTGTGTAGCATAACGAAGGAAACAAATATTTATCTTAGCAGCAATTTACAGTGGTCCAGCTTCCAAGATTGCTACTGGCATTTCCTTCTTACTGTTTGAACAATTACAGATCCACTGATGACTTTTAAATTCTTACTAAATAAATTAAACTCCAGGACACAATTTTAAGATGCCTCTTACAAAAGATACATAACAACATTTTGGAATTATGAATAAGTCAGCTAAAATTCAATTCAACAAATAGTTTTTGAGCAGCTATTGTGCTGGATATTTGCCTAGGTGTTGGGAGTAAATAGGAAAACAACCTTGAGAAAATCTCTTCGTTCATAGAGCTTAACTATAACGGATGTTTCCAAAATTTCAGTTTGGCTTTTCTAAAGAAATATTGATTTAGATATTTCATTAACTCATTTTTGGTTCTTAAATTCCTTAGGTGCGCTTTCTTTTGAAGTTACCACACCTTAAAAACCTGGCTTTGTTTTGTGGTCAATATCCCTTGGCCTTATATATCAAATATTATGGCATAAAATATTTATGAGTAAAAAGACTGCTTTTATTTTCATTATTTTGGATTGTTCTAGGCTGGTTTAGTTTTGGTAATCACGTACACTAACAATTTCTGAACAAGCCAAAAAAAAAAAAAAAAACGCTCTAAAAAATAAGCGAAAAATGGTTGCATTCCACTATTGAAGGCTATTACAGTATGAGTTAAATGTACTGAACTTATTTTTCTTACTCCTTTGTGAAACAGTCTTAATTAACTAATGTAGTAAGCAGCTTTCTAACCTTCAAAATGATTTTCTGTGTTAGCAAAATCATTTTGCAAGTCAAATGCAACACTAGTTTAACTTTTGCATTTGAAGGACTGTTTAACTATTAACTGGTTAATTTTGTATTATTCTCATATAGAAGGTAAGTACTCAAATTCTTTTCCTCATAAAACCTGGCACTCAGCATCTTAAAGGTAGGTACACATTTAATATTTTCTTATATTCACTCCTATGCCCACTAGATAAAAAATATAAGGTACCGAGTGATTTTAAAATTTAAATGAAAAACTTTAATAAGGAAAAAGTAATAAGATAATATCAGTATGATAAAGTGGGATCCACACCAGTTATGAGAGAAACACAAATGTGTACATGATGTAGGATTTACAAAGTGTAGCCACATATATTATTTTGTGTAATCATAGTTTATAACAACCAACAAATAGATCAGTTTAAAAGCTAAAGGACTTGAAAGTAATTTTAGTAGCACATAGATAGACTGTTGTCTAATTTGAAGACAATGGGAAATGTTTAAAACTGATTTCATAAAGCCCGAAACCACTTTGACATTTGAGTTGAGCAACACCGAATGTTGAAATAAATGTCCTTTTCTGGTAAATTTAAAGGACTCCTTTAACATGATAATTTGTCTTCTAAAATAATGTCCCAGGACCCACAAAAACAAAAGTCAAAATTGAAGGTGAACCTGAATTCAGACTGATTAAAGAAGGTGAAACAATAACTGAAGTGATCCATGGAGGTGCGTTTCGTATGTTTCCTGGTGCTGACTAGCTTCACTGCAATTATTTTGAAATAGTGTTGGTTTAGAAATATTGAACATCTGATATTTTCTCTTTGTTCTTACTTTATATAAATTGTGGGAATTATTTTCTCAGCTATGAGTTCTTATTAGCTGGTCAGAAATAAAATATAGTTAGCTTTTAATGGATCTGAACGGAATTAATTTAACTATTAAATCACCCAACAAAACTATCATGATTTTTGCATATGCAAGTGAGGTTTGTTGCATAAAATTGTAACACTAATGTCAGTATAAAGGGAAATATTAGACTTAGAAACAGTAGGAAAAATGACCATTGTGTAAGTCTCTAATAAGCCACCCCACTACTAGGATTTATGATAGGAGTCCCATTCCAATGATATATAACTCCCTGGACTCTCACTAAGTATTCATTCCACAGCCAGAAAACAAGTATAACATGGAGAGTTAGAATGTCAAATGGCCCTCTCACTCAACCAATATTTAGGACATAGCTGTTATGTATGGATCCCTATCGATCTGAAGTTATTTGAGATATGTTCTAAAAATGTTTACGACTGAATCCTAAATGGTAATATTTTTAGAAATGTAGTTAATCATTACAATGTCTAGCTTATGAATGCATAGCCACTATATGAGGGTAAATCAAATGTATTTGTATTCCACTACTTTCAGAGCCAGTTATTAAGAAATACACCAAAATCATTGATGGAGTGCCTGTGGAAATAACTGAAAAAGAGACACGAGAAGAACGAATCATTACAGGTAGCCACTAATTCCCACTAGTTCCATACATGGATCTCTGCCCAGATTATAAAGATCAAATTATAGTTAATCACCAAATATGTTTCATTAAAGAAAAACGTCATTTTCATGGTGATTACTAAAGTTACTTCATATTTTGGCAGAAATAATATTATTCTAAATATGTAATCTATGTTTTACTCTGAATTGAAAATTTGTAGACAAATCCAAAAGCATTTGTTTTTATTACATGTATGCATCCATGCATGTAATTTGATATACCATTGATATGATATACCATCTTCACTTTACTGTTCATTAATAAGTTAGAGGATTCTAGAAGAAAAACCATTTCCTCTTTTGAGCTTCCATTAATCTTAAGGTCTACACATCTACGTGCCAAAATAGAAGCAAGTTTATGCAAAGCTATTGATCAATAATTTTAGTAAAGCTGTGCATCTGACTTCCAAATTAGCAGTCCAGTTGGCCTAAAGTAGCCTAAAATTAGCCTAAAATTCTTAGTTAAGCTATTATTTAAGTATTTGTTCAAACAATTTGTGAGCAAGTATCACTTGTGCCACCTATTTCTGGAAATAAAGTTTTACTGGAACACAGTCATGCCCATCCATTTATCTATGTCTAAGGCTGCTTTCACACTGAAGTATCAGAGTTGAACAATTGCAACACAGACTACATGGCCCATAAGCGTAAAATACTTACTCTCTATCACTCCACAGAAGAAGTTTGCCTACTTCTGTTTTAGACCTTTTTCATTGTCTCTCTCATAGGTCCTGAAATAAAATACACCAGGATTTCTACTGGAGGTGGAGAAACAGAAGAAACTCTGAAGAAATTGTTGCAAGAAGGTCAGCATTTCTAGAAAAATAAGAAAGTGACTTTACCTAAGCTATCTGTATCCAAGTCTAAAATAATCTGTGAGGCATTCTACATGTTTTCTACTCTATCTCATCCTATTGTTCACTTCCATACCAACAAGAAAAAAGCACAAAAATAAGGAATTAAGCATAAGTGGCAGTTGTATGTTTATACAGTATTTTGTTTGACAACTTTATAAGAAAATTAGTAAGTCAGAAAATGGTACTAAAGGCTGGGAAAGAACTGAATGCTGGACTAGAATTCATTATTGGGCAGATGTCACTATTTATCAGGTCAGGTCTGCTGTCTTTATTTTGTTATATAAATCAATTTCTGCTATAAACATGTATCCTCTCAGAGGTCACCAAGGTCACCAAATTCATTGAAGGTGGTGATGATCATTTATTTGAAGAGGACGAAATTAAAAGACTGCTTCAGGGAGGTTAGTAAAAGGACAACAAAACTAACCCCCTTAACAGGTTCTGGTGACTGAGTTCAACTTTTTAAAGACTGAGCAAGCAGGTTTTTCTTTTAATTAGGTTTAAAAAAAGACAACATCTGCTCTTGTCTTAATAGCTGGATTGGTTCAGAGGTAACTAATAGTGACAAAGCAATGATTACTAGTTTAAACAGTCTTTAAAAAGTTCTATGGTATAAAGCTTGGGGAGCAATGAATATTTTTTTTTGCTTTGATTCAGATAATTTTAAGGACATTTTAAGTATGTTAAAGGGGAATAATTGTTAAATTGCTAGTTGTTAAACAAGCCCAAATTTAATATACTTTTTATATTTAAAAAATTATATTCACTGCCCCCATAACAGCAATCAAGGCATGTCTTTAAATTTTGTGCATAGATATAGTCAAAAACAGTGCATTTAGTAACTTTCTTTTCCAAAACTATATTCTTGGGAATGAGTATCTGTTTCTTCTAACAGATTGAATGATAATCTATACCTGAAGATATAAATTATTTTGCATATAAAATTAATCTTAATCGTTTATGGAATGTTCTCTGTCTGTGGCATTAAATGGACCTTAAGAACAAAGAAAAAAGAATTCAAAATCTTACACAAACTCTACATAGTAATTATTCAAAGATGTTGTATTTGTATATATGTATATACATATATATATAATTTGGATTACTGGTATTGGAATAAACAAATTTATACTTCATTTTTTAACAAGGAAAGTATTAAGCTGAAAAATTATTTTTGTGAAAAAAGTATTTAAATTCTTTAGAAAAACCAAATAGGCTCCTTGAAATATACTATTAATTGAAAAGCATAACTGAAGTTCGATGTTCATCCAAAACAGTGTCCAGATGGCTTTTCAGCTTATAATTTTAAAAATTGTATTACTATGTCCAAGAAAATGTAAGTTATCTTGGGACTTTCTATGTTTTTAGCAATTATTGTTTCTATATTCTGTAGTTGAATAAATGTAAAATCTCTTAAATAGTATTTAGAAATTCATCAATGATAGTTTAAAATTGTTTTAATTCAACCAATGATTGAATTTTCCCTCAATAGAAATATATATGTCTGAAAAACACAAGTTTCCTCCCAGAATGCCAAGAGTACATAGCACATCAGAGCCATAAGGGAACCAAAGATTCGCGTAAAATCTAACAAAGAATTCACTATCTACCCTCAAATGCCCTACTGTCTGCTAGGAAAAAAATCGAAGGATTTCAGGGAAGAGACAAACACATTATGAAGATTAAATTGGATTCTTTTTTTTTTTCTTTTAGTCCTTGCCATAGTAAGCAGCTTTGTAGAATGGTAGTGCTTTTTAGGGAATCAATAAATTAGTAGCTGCATCTGTTTATATTGCTTTAATTTATTTAGGCTTAAATTTCAGGTAAGTATGTTTTCTTCTTATTTGATAAGCCCCTGTTATTGAAGCCACTATGAACAATCCAGTTAAATACTAAAGAATTGTTTCAGCCAAGAAAAGATATAACTGCTACAAGTTAAGAATATGACATTCAATTTTTAATTAATGGACTCCTTTCTTAGCTCTTGTCTCTGTTCATTCCAGAGGTTTATTCTTTTTGTTCCCAGTGTCTGATATCTCTACACATCTGTAAGACATCAGTTTTCACAATGCCACATAAATTATTGTGGCATTATGAAAAAACATAAAAGCATAAGTTTTTATCAAACCATTTCCAAGGTTTTGCTTTTTGTAGGAAAGAAACTAGATGCAGTAGAGTTACTAGTACCAGCAATAATTGAATATGCTTGTTTTCTTTTTTCTAGCTATCTAAAACCATCAGGTTATTACTAAGTCACAAGTGTCCCCTCATCTAGATCCTGAGACATTGATAAAAGAAGCTGATAAAGATTTCATTATGCAAGAATATTTTTTTCAAGGTCTGGCCAATTAATACATATCTGAACCATGATCTTCATCTCAATAAGTTCTATCTAAAACTCAATTTTTTATCTAAACAGTTCATATTGTACACATTGTGGTAGATGTAGTACATTTTTGTACTTTTAATAATTTGAGTGTATTTCTCAACTATTAAGTCATGACTATTAACATGGCTAAGAGGTTCCTTGAGTACTGATGTTGTGATTTGTCACTGATACCCTTTCAAGATCTTAACTGAAAATAATTCTCACTAAATGCATAGAATTTTTTGTGCTCACCTTAGAACTATGCATTCTGAACCACCCAAGCAATTAAAGGAGAATAACAGTCTATGTCAAAAGGAACAAAAACAAAAAAGTCATTTTGGAAGGTTTTGGCAAATCTGTCAATATGACAGGTTAAGATTTGCAAACTCTATATAGAATAGTAGATCAGGTTGTAAGTCTGCATTCAATATGAGCTCCAACTCAATCCCAGACCAGCTGATTCTTTTGTTTCTTGTTTCCTTCTTCTGAAAGTGAGAATAGTAATGTTACCTACAGTGTACATGAGTTAACATATGACAAGCTCTTAGAACAATGTTCAGCACAGAGTAAGCTGTCATCAATTATTACTCTCAGAATCATCAATTGACATTAACATAGTCAATTAAGTAATGTTCAACTTTAAATTTTGATAGTCATAGCCATGGACACATACAAAAAAAAAAAAAAAACCAAACAAGTAAGCAAATAAAATGTCCAAATAATTGAGCTGAGCACTTTGCATGTTTTAGAAAACATGATGTCGAGTGGTTCTTTCATGCTAAGCTATTCAGGTAATTGGTTTATCTTACCACATTTTGCTGCTCTAAATATGATCTAGTATAACTCTCATTTATGTTGACATAACAGAGAGCTGCTGAGAGCAAACCTGTTTGCTACACAATAATCAAGCTGTTTTTTCAAAATGTTTGTTTGACACATTGAACGTTTTTTATTCTGGAATATTATCATAGCAAAAACTGATTAATTGGATGCTATAAAATTATGAAAGGAAATCTGAGCACACTTACTTGTTTTGAAAAGGAATATGGTAAATACTTCTATGATCCAGTTTTAAATTATACAATTAATTGCTATCTGAAATTTAGTAAGTCCACTATGAACAATGCACCTACTCACCAATTAAAGGTTGGATCTGTCTGTTCTTAACAATCTTTTAGAAGTCATTATTTTGTTACCAAATAAACCTGAAGTTAAGAAATATTTATATTTACATCTATTTTATCTATTTGAGAATATTTCATAATTCAGACTTGGCTGTTTCACACAGACTTCTCTCCATTTTCCAATATAGTAAGATTTTTCTATAGTTCTATATTTTACTCTAGTATTAATGTGGCTTTATAAATGATTATATGCCTTATATTTTGGGGAAAAAGACGTGAAATATTCTAAGTAGACAGAAACAGAATATAAAATTTTTTTGAATTTTTTTTTTAATGTGCTTACTGTCATATAGACAAAACCGTTCATGGTGATAGTTTCATTGCTTATTTTTTATAGGATTTCAGAGAATTGAAAAAATATACATAATAGAAAAAACTGACTTCGTGTTGAGTATAGATGATACATATAAAAGAAGTCAAAATTGGTAGGAAAAAATTTAAAAGATAAGTAGAAAAATCAAGCCACTATGGAAACCATATTTACTTTTTGATCCTAAATGCCCAAAAACTGAGTGAAAATGTGAATTTAGGTCTACCAGGTAGTCTTGTCAATGAACCAAAAGAAAAACAGGAGAATACAGAAACACATTACAAATATAACAACACAAAACAGCATAGTTTTGAAATACTTGCAGTTCTTAAACATAAAAGCTTTTATTAGTTAATTTTTTAAAAGGCTCTCATAGGATTAACACTGAATCAGGTTGGGGGGGGGTAGAATTAGGGCGATGGCATATCTTCCTGAATAGCTTATTATAACATTTCTAGAGTCATTAGGTCAATGCTATTTTGTTGTCCTCATATACAATAAAGCAATCACAAATTGATTTTAGTGAGAATTTTACAGAGGCATACATTACAACCAGGTATGACTGCAAAGATGGGTGACTAACTCTTGGAAGATACTTGTGCTAAACCTTATACGACCTTCATCATAAGGTAATATTTTTTACAAAACGGCTGAAAAAAATCACGAAAGTCATTTACTAGGCAAAAATAGCACATTATTTTGGGCTCCAAAATCCATAATGAAACAATGTGCTTTGCAATTAAGAAACATTCATTGTGATATATGGAAAACACTGTCCTTTGTCAATGTGAAACTCTCAGAATCATAAAGTTTACTATTAAAAAAGTCTTCATGTTTAAGTGATGTTTATTCAAAATTTTAAGCTTTTCCGTTTAACCATGGTCTCCTGCCTGATTTTAGCCATAATTGCAAAGTATTTCTAATTATAACAATTTAATTTTAGACACACCTGTGAGGAAGTTACAAGCCAACAAAAGAGTTCAAGGTAAGTGTATTGGCTATAGTAATGTGTGTACATGGCCTCTTTTGCTATACAAAGAGAAATCAAAGAATAGGAAATTCTTTTAAAGTATTTTATTGAACCTTGTTGTCAATCAGAGAGAAAAGTTAGCCAGTTTCGATGCTAAGTATTTTGATAACAATCAGAAAATAAATTTCTCATGTTCTATACTATCAGTAGACTCTAATAACAAATATTAAGGGAAAGGCCAATATAATTCTGCAAGCTGGTAGGCATATTGAACCCTTGAGATAGACTCAAGTGAATAATCTTCAAATATATATACATATATATAATTTATGTATATAAATTAGAGTCCAAAATTATATGTACATATAATTTTGCGTGCATAAAGTTAAGTATACATATAATTTTGCATACATAAGTGCTAAGTCAAAAAGAAATTTTTGACTATCAGAGATAGACAAATGTAGATTGCAGGTGGATCTGAATCCTTAAAAATGTTATTACCTGCAATGATGCTACAGTTTGAGACATAAGTAAACAAGAAATGTATACATACAAAAAACCGTCACTTTAGCTATTTACAAAATGTTCATTTAAATATGTAGATTATATATGTATATATCACATATGCATTACATTTATTTTATAATCACACTATGTGCATTTTCTATCCCACCACTTAAGGTATCTTACATTCTGATACATTGAGAGAGCAAGAATTTCCCTTGTGAAACCTAGAGTAAATTACAAGCTTGGAATTACAAGTTTGGAATTTCTGTGATAATTACATACTAACAGTCAAAAGAAGATGCAATGCCTATCAATGCACTATAAGAACATCTTACCTGAAGCCAATCCAATGTGTAGACCTTTGAAAGTAAAAGATCAACTGCACAAATTTTTTAGCTAAATAATGTATCAGTAAATCTATGTAAATATCCAAATCTGCACAAATTTTCTAAGGAATTAAAAATATTAAATTTCAAATTATTATGTGTATATACTTTTGACCAAAATATAATATTTGCTTCACGGTAAGCTGAGGATACTATCAAGAAAACATAATCTAAAGTTTATTACAATGAAAATAATGACCTCTGATAGATATAAAGAGAATGAAATATTCTTAAATTTTAAAATTTTCTCACACTTAACAATCTCTACATTCTCCTTTCTTTCTAATTAGGATCTAGAAGACGATCAAGGGAAGGTCATTATCAGTGAAAATCCAGCCACCAGACAAAAAAAGCTTATACAACCCTTAGTCAATAATCTGATCTTAGAAAATTGTAAGAGCCATGTTGACTTCAGGAACTGAAGCATCAGTGCCAAGAAGCAATCATCAAATAATTCTGAACACAAATTTATTTCTTTTTTTTTTTCTGAATGAGAAAATGAGGGAAATTGTGGAGTTAGTCTCCTGTGGTAAAGGAACTGAAGGAAATTACATGCTTTTTCATCTTGACGTTAAAAGTTCTGGCTAACTTTGGATTCCATCAGAGAAAATCCTTGTAACCAAATTCATTACAATTCAAATAGAAGAGTGGTGAAGTGTTATTACCTTGAGAAGACCGAGCCTTGTATGTATGCTATGGATACATAAAGTGCATGCAAGCAGTTACCTTTCCATGGGAAACTAAGTTATAAAAATAGGTGCTCAGTATACAACAAAACATTTTACATGGAAAGGCTTTGCACATTTCTATAAGAGTGAATTTACTGGTAAACTATGTTATTTTTTTACAACTAATTTTGTACTCTCAGAATGTTTGTTGTATGCTTCTTGCAGTGCATACTTTTTAATCTCAAACATTTCAATGAAACCATTTTCAAGTATAAAGATACTTCAAATCAGGTAATTTAGAAAAACTCAAGATTAAAGTTAAAAAGTGGTTTGGATTTGGGAACAGAACCTTATACCTCTTTTATTGTAACAAGTACTCATTAAAGGAAATTGAATAAAATTAGTGTTTCTTGGGGTTTTTTTTTTTTTAACTTTTAAGTTCAGGGGTGTATAGCCATGTGTAGGACATGAGGTTTGTTGCATAGGTGAACATGTGTCATGTGGGGTTTTGTAAAGATTATGTTATATAAAAAATTAGACAATGAAGCAATAATTAAACATCAGCTGAATACTTAATATAACCCTAGGACTGTGCTGAGTCATGAGGATTCAAAAGATGAATCAGGCACATTTACTGTCCTCAAAATGTAAGGAAATGAGTAACCAAATATCCTCAATACACCATGGGCTATAATAGTATCATAAATAGCACTATTGAAGCATGGATGCATCAATTCGTTATTCCTGGGCTAGGCACTGGGGAGCCACAGAGATGCTCTTAACTTATTTGAAGTAACAGAGTCCACTGCATGGCAAAGAAGAAGAAAATATTTGTTTGCTAGTACTAATGCAAGACTGACTTGATCAACTCAAACCTCAACAAGTATCATTCTCACTTAAACCAACTGACATACGAGCCTTCTGGAAACAGAATCCTTACTGATGAGAGACTGAGCGGTGAGAGTGAAATAGAATTATACCCTGCGTTAGAAAGAAGTCATTGGGAGACTGTAAAACCTAGGAAAGCCAAACTGAAGACATCAGGTTTAGCCATGAATGCCCACCTGGGATCAGAGAAAATCGGGCTCAGCGCAAAGGACCTAGAAAGGGGCTTGGATAGCTGAAAAATTCTTGTTTGATTAGTGATTAGGGTGAGGAAGTGGGGTATAAAATTCTGGGAGTGTCATTTGCTAAAGAAGTGCTGGATAGCTTTGGTTTTTGAGAATGCTTTCTCATTTGGGAGAGTAGAGAGATTTATTTCTACCATTTAGAGACCCTGCCAGAAAAGAAAATCCCCTGCTCACTCTGAACCCATGGAGAGAATCTCAGCTGCAAAGGGTGTCGCTGTGATCTTCCCAAGATGATTCAAAAGAGGTGGTTAAGTAGAAATAGATGATACTGGTAGAATAGACAAAAATATCATCAGCATTGATGGCTACTCTAAACAGGTACCATGTGTTCAGGATGCCAGAGAAGATATCCAGTTAATTGCACAGAAAGGACAACAAATAGGTCCAATCAGCCACCTTCAAGATTTTCATTTGAAAATAAGCCAAATGCTTTGAAGCTGGGCTTTCAACATGATATTTCAGGACCATAAGACTGATGTTGAGGTCTTCTTAGACTGCTAAGGCACCAGATTCTTTTTTCACCATAGAAGAAAAAGGGCTCTGCTTTTTACCATGGAAGAAAACTCAGCATTGGCTATGCACACACATAAGTCCAGCCTATCTTTCTGGTGAAAGACAGTCTTTCAAGTGACACATGTAACGTGTTTACAAATAAAACCTAAAGAGAAAAAATATTAATAAGAATAAATTAAATAGTAATATAAATCAAAAGAAGTAAGATTGAAAACATAAGAAAATAAAGAACAATAATTTAAAACCCTAAAATCAGGATTAAAAATAATCACTAAATATTAATTCTATTCAGAAACTTTCTAAAAGTTGAAGAGGCATTGTAGTATGTGATTTTTCACACAATAATTAATCCTTTAACAATTTTGAAGAGATTTATTATCTCCAGTTTTGTGTGGGAAAAAAAATTGAGGATCAACAATTTACATAACTTTTCTTTCTTCTTTTGCCTTGTACTAAAATCGTGATATTGATCAACTTACCACCAACCATTACCCAACAAGTACAAACATGAAATAGCAAACAAATTTGTTGCAATGGTTATGACTCTTCTTACCTGATCTTAACTCATTTTTTTTCTCTGTAAGTGGCATGTTAACTTTTGTTTTGGGCACATTGAACTTAGACTTGTGGTCTTAGCAGAAATCTCTACAAAGCATTGTTTCTCAAGGTTAGAGCTATGACATTCTGCAGCAGAATCAACTAGGAGAACTTATTTTATAGTAAAGATTTCAGGGTCCATCCAAGACTTAGAAAAGAATCTTTTGGTCAAACTTCCCCTCTTATTTGTTTTTAACTTTTATTTTAGGTTTGGGAGTACATGTAAAGGTTACTTATATAGGTAAACTCATGTCATGGGGCTTTGTTGTACAGATTATTTCATCACCCATGTATTAATTCTAGTACTCAATAGACACTTTTTCTGTTCCTCTCTCTCCTCCCATCCATCCATGTCAAATAGACCCCAGAATCTACTCTTCCTTTCTTTATTTTCATGACTTCTCATCATTTAGCTACCACTTATGAGTATGTATGGTATTTGGTTTTCTGTTCTTGTGTTAGTTTGCTAAGGATGATAGCTTCCAGCTCCATTCAGGGTCCCACAAAATATATCCTCTCATTGTTTTTTATGGCCACATACTATTCCATGGTGTATGTGCCATATTTTCTTTATCCAATCTATCTTTGATAAATATTTAGGTTGGTTCCATGTATTTGCTATAGGAAAGAGTGCTGCAATGAACATTCACATGCAAATATGTGTCTTTACAGTAGAATGATTTGTATTCCTCTGGGTATATACTCGGTAATTACATTGTTGGGTCAAATGGTCATTTTCTTTTTAGTTCTTTGAGGAATCATCATACTACTTTCCACAATGGTTGGACTAATATACAATTCTACCAACAGTGTATCAAGATTCCCTTTTCTCTACAACCTCTCCAATGTCTGCTATTTTTTGACTTTTTAGAAATAGCCATTCTGACTGGTGTGAGATGATATCTCATTGTGGTTTTAATGTGTATTTTTCTAATGATCATTGCTATTGAGCTTTTTTTTATATTCTTATTGGCCACATGTATGTTTTCTTTTGAAAAATATCTGTTCAGATACTTTGCCCACTTTTTTATGAGGCTGTTTTTCTTTTGTAAATTTGCTTAAGTTCCTTTTAGATGCTAAATATTAGACCTTTGTCAGATGCATAGCTTGCAAATATTTTCTCCCATTCTGTAGGTTATTTGCTTACTCTGTTGATAGTTTCTTTTGCTGAGCAGAAGCCCTTATGTTTAATTAGATCACATAATGTTAATTTTTGCTTTTCTTGCAATTGCTTTTGGGTGTCTTTGTCATGAAATATTTCTTACTCTTATGTCCAGGATGGTATCACCTGGGTTGCCTTCCAGGGTTTTTATAGTTTGTAGTTTTACATTTAAGTCTTTAATTGATCTTGAGTTGATTTTTCTGTATGGTAGAAGGAAAGGGTTCAGCTTGAGTCTTCTGCTAGCCAGTTATCCCAGCACCATTTATTGAAAGGGGTCTTTTCTCCATTGCCTGTTTTTGTCCCATGGCCAACATCATACTGAATGGGCAAAAGCTGGAAGCATTTCCCTTGAGAATTGACACAAGACAAGGATGCCTTCTCTCACCACTCCTATTCAACATAGTATTGGTTGTCCTAGCCAGAGCAATCAGACAAGAAAAATAAATAAAGGACATCAGAATAGAAAGAGAGGAATCCAAACTATTCCTTTTGCCAACAACATGATTTTATGTCTAGAAAACCCCATAGTCTCAGTCCAAAAGCTCCTTCAGCTAATTTCAGCAAAGTTTCAAGACACAAAATCAACATACAAAAATCAACATACAAAAAATCAGAAGCATTCCTATACAGCAAAAATAACCAAGCCTTGAGGCAACTCAAGAAGGCAGCCCCATTCATGATTGGCACAAATAAATAAAATACATAGGAATACAGCTAACCAGAAAGGTGAACGATCTCTACAATAATAATTACAATACACCGCTCAAAAAAGTGAGAGATGACATAAACAAATAGAAAAAACATTCCATGCTCACGGATAGAAAGAAACAATATCATTAAAAGGGTCATACTGCCCAAGGCAGTTCACAGATTTAATGCTATTTCTATTAAACTACCAATGGCATGCTTCACTAAACTAGAAAAAACTATTTTAAAATTCATATGGAACCAAAAGACAACCTTCATAGCCAAGGCAATCCTAAGCAAAAAAAAAAAAAAAATCATGCTGGGAGAACAACATAACCAACATCAAACTGTATTACAGGGCTACGATAACCAAAACAACATGGTGCTGATACAGAAACAGGCATGTAGATCAATAGAACAGAATAAGGAGCCCAGAAATAAGATCATACACTTATGACCATCTGATCTTCAACAAAGCCCCTGTGATTCTTATAAATACTGAAGTTTTTGTTTTGTTGTTTGTTTGACTAGTTCTTTTAAAGTATAATTATATTACAATGAACTGAAAATACTTGTGTGCAATTTCATAAGTTTAGGCATATTATACACATGTGAAACCAACACTACACCAAGGCTTGTAAATATATTCATCATCACCAAAAGTTTGCTTATGACCTTTTTAATTCCTACCTTCCTACCCCTTCGTGCCCCAGTCCCAGGCAACCACAGATTTACTTTCTGTCACTACAGATAATTACATTTTCCAACTTCTATACAAATTGAGTCACACAGTATGCATGGTTTCTTTCTTGTCGATTTTACTTTCTCTTGGGTTAATATGTAATAGTGGAATGGCTGGATTATATAAAACATATATTGCAAACATTTTTTGGAAACTACCAGGTCATACTCCAAATTAGTTCTACTATTTTGCATTCCCATCAGAAATATGTGAAAGTTCCAGTTACTTTTGCTAACACTTAACATGGTCTGTCTTTTGAATTTAACCATTCTAATAGGTACATAATGTAATCTCATTGTGGTTTTAATTTACATTTCACTAATGCATGTTTTTGATGTGCTTATTTGACATTTGTGTATCTTTTATCTGGATATGTTTATGGGGTACATTTGCAATTCTGTAATATGCATAGATTGTATAGGAGTCAAGTTAGGGCTTTTAGGGCATTCACCACCCCAATAACACACATTGTACCCAGGAAGTGATTTCTTATCATCCTCCCCACATCTTCACCCTTCCAAGTGTCAATTAGCTATCATTACACTCTCTATATCCATATGTATACATTA